TAATATGTTACAAAATAACAACTGCTACACCAGTGTCTGTCTCTTAACATGGAAACACAATGTGATTTCCACTGACCCTGTTTGGGAAGTGGGTAAGGAATGTCAAAATAGTCATCATAGAAGTCCAGCAGCTTGACAGCAGCATCCAGTGCAAAGGCTGTCTGGTCGATCTTCTCAGGGACAGCATAGATTGAAATCTGAAGGGAATCACAGTAAAGAACAAAGAACAAGCAAGTTTTCTCAGTTAGTACAACAGTCATTAGATGACACGTCTGATATGCTTCACACCGTGGAGATGTATACAGTACCTATGCAAAGTATTTTAGTCAAACTGCTGACTAAAAAAAGTCTTTTTAATAAGAAGCATCTGGTGTGCATCTCACCTTGACACCATGCTGGGTCGTCTTGCTCACAGACTTGAAGTCCGACACAATGTAGGCAACCAGGTAAGTGCTCATTTTCACAGTGGTGTCAAAGTGATCCTCAAGCAAACCACCTGGCAACTCCACAGTTTTAACCTGAGAAACACAGGTGTGTTTTAATAATTAAGAAAAGAAAGGAGAGGTCCATAATATTGCAGATGTGCATATATAGTCATATGTATATAAGCATGTTGCTATTTTGTTCTTTTTAATAAATCCATATTTCTGGTAATTACTCATTTATGCTTAAAGTAAACTGGGACTGGTCAGTCTACATTTACCATTGGCATGTTGGATATGGCTATGTGGCGTGGCTCTCGAATAATTCGTATGGTGAAGTTGGCTTTGAAGGCGGGTTCGTCAAAACAGGGGAAGGCTCCACGAGCAAAAGTCGCTTCAAACTGCGTGGACGCCAGGACTCTGAAAATGTAATTAAGCACAAAGTGAAAGTGGATTAAAGCTGGTGTGATTAGGAGCTTTCAGCACTAAATAATCTTTTTTTGGTGAACTTTAAGCTTTTACTTGCACTGATTTTATAGCCAATTCCAAAGTTGCACTACATTTACAATAAACTCTTTGTTCTCTGTTGCAAAAAGGAAGATTTTACTTCAGTATCCGATAACAGCCAATAAAATGGAGGTGAACAAGGATGCCATTCATTTTTTTCTCTGACGTTCTTCAGTTATTTTAGTTATTTGTCAAAAGAGAAATTTAGTATTATTAGTAAAAGAAACACAGAGAACATTCAAAATGCCTCGTGGCCTTACCTGACCTCCCCGCTGCTGGTGCGGTAGCTTCCCTTGTAGAAACCATGGAAACTGTCAGACAGGTTGGCAGCAAATGCCAGATGAACTTCATACTTCCTACCTTTGATGAGCACCGAGTCTGACAGCAAGGCTAGCTGATGGAAGCGAGGATACTCCAACACCTTAAGGCGCTTAATGCCTTCAGGTGCCAAGAGGAACACATTGGATATCTGCATTTGCTTGGCATGGAGAATGACAGTGTTGGTGTCTTCATGCACATCAAGCTCAATACGAACAACGCCAGTGAAGTCCAGGGTGGTCAGATTGGGGTGTATGGCCAGGTCATAGTGGAGTGGAGTGACGGTTGTGGGAAGTCTCATGCGGTCCCAGGGGAAGGGCTGACCATTGGTGGCAATAGGGAGGTCTTTGGCCTTGGCTTGATTTGGTAACTGTGCTCCAGATGAGGGAGAAAAGGGAACGAACAGCACTAGCAGGAGAGGAGCCACTAACATGGTGACAACAGAGGCGGGACCTGAAATACAAACACAGAAAACTAAATGCAATATTTCTCCGCTTACTTGTAGTGTCACACAGCAAACACCGAACATCTCAGGATAGCTGGACTGTCAAACAAACTACTGCTTCTCATGGTACTTTATGACACATGACAAAGGACCGGGAAAAGCATTACTTTCGATTTCACACAAATGGATTCGTTGTATAATCATGCATTACAATGCAGTCAAAATGACTCAGATTTTCAGAAGCCATAAAGCATCTTATCTTATATTCTCATTATTTTATAAATTATGTGAGCTATATGTAAAAAATTGCTAACTTACCGCTTCGTCTCCTGCACGCAGCTTCAGCAGAAATCATTGAAAAATGAAAGTGAAACACAGAAAGGGGGGAATTGCATGCTGGGAGAAAACGAAGGAAAGGTTCACTAAGCTGAGGTGTCAGTTTAGGTCATTTCACTTACAGCTGTGGCTGTAACTCTGAGTCTAAGACCTGATAAAGACGCTTAAAATTCAGGGTATCCTGTCATGTCTGCAGCTCATGCTTATATTCCAGCTGTGAGTTATGAAAACATACCGCCTATTTTTTCTTTATCAAACACTTCTGGTGCACATTTTTAAACTACTGACTGTGTTACACCACCATCACAATAAAAGGGGACAAAACGCACGAGCAATTTGTATAGGAAATGGACGGAAACAGGAACTTCCGTGTTTACAGCCCCCGCAGTAAATATATTTAACCACTAGAGGGCAACGTTGCTTCGATTAACGGTTATTTCCGTGCGCTTACTGTCTCAACTCTCTTGTATTTTGGTTTTCAGTTGGTCCTCGTCGAACATTTTGCAAGAATCCGAGATTAAATAACGTGTTAAAGTTTATTTATTTTGAGGAACACTGATCCATCCTCAGTGAGGATCAGTTCCAGACAGAAAATAGTAGTGTACGCTATGGTCACCTACAGGTCTACAGTTATGGACCACATGTACCCTTTGGGTGTCAGTGTATGTCACTGAGTGATAAATCTTTCATTATTGTTAGCATTTTTCTGGTTGAACATGACAATAAAGTAAATGAGTCATGAATACTAAAATTAATTGAGCTCAAGCTCATGGAGTGGCTGTAACTAAGGAGGTAGAGCAGGTCATCTACTGATCAGACAGTTTGTTCCCTGGCTGCTCCAGGCTGTATGTTAAATATCCTTTGGCAAGATACTAACCCCAAGTTGCTCTCTGATGCATTCATCTGAGTATAAATGTGTGTGACTGATAGATTTGCAAGTGTTGTGGAAAATTTAACAATAACCTGCAATGGGGAAACCTTTTGAATACAAGCGCGCTGATTCACACAGGTGTGCACACAGATGTTCACTGTCCATAGACATAAACTACACCTTTCTTGGCTGCTACCTCAAAGCACATTGTGCGCTGTCGGTCCTGGGTGCTGCACCACAACATTCAATATTTAGTATTTACTGCTGTTTACACTTAGCTAGATTAATGCGGTGGTGTTGTGTTTATTATGTTGCTCTGTTTATTTGCTTGTTTTCTCTTCTTTTCCTCTCAACAGGTGATCCAGGAGGTTTTTTTTTCTTTTTTTCTCTCTCTTTCTCTTTTTAAGCACCCTTTCTCACTGTCCCTCTTCCCTTCTGTTTTTCTTTTCCTTCATCTTTCTTTCTCCCTTTCCTATCCCCTAGTCATGTCTGTCCCATCTGTAACAACTGAAAATAAAATAAAATAAATAATAACAACAAAGGTCGATCAAATGGACCAATACGGCAAGATGATCCACTTGGTAAAGTAAATTCATTGGGTATTCTTGTTGGTCTTCAGACAACAATTCTGACAGCTAAAGAACCAAATGGGACAGGCAAAAAAAACAACCCCAAAAAAACAATAACCTGCAACACACCCAGTGAGCTTGATTTGAAGTGGGTTTAATAAACACATTGCAATGTGGAGAGAGCATCCCAGTGAAACACTAGGACTATCTCTGAATTGTGGCCACTGCCTGCTCTTACTATAGTAAAGTGAGAAAGTGATATTACTATAACTAATGTGATATGATTAAATATGTGATTAATACATGAGAAAAGAAATCTACCTCCACATATGCCACTAAACTCTGACTTATGCACATAACAGACAGCTTAATAAAGAACCCACTGCATCTTTAGGCACTTTGTTACTAGCTTCTTGTTACAAAGTTGCACATTTTGGCATTTCATTTGGCATTTCAGCCAGTGATATTTGGGATATTGAAAAATAAAGGTGGTTGTACAAAAAGACTTTCAAGCTTGTCAGCATAAACTCTGTTTTTGCCTTATAAACTGTTTTTCCAGTTATGTTTACCTGTTTCAATAGATCACTGCACTTATTCACATCTTCCCTGCAAAATATAAAGAAATGAGGAATTGTTCAAGACTTTTACAAAGTAGTGTCGAAAACAGCCTGCATGCAAAGCATGTTTAGTTAATGTGTTGTACGACAACATTAAGGGCTGAAGGATTTCTGCATATCTTTGACACACATTTATTTCTTTCCTTACCTCTGAATTCAAACAGTACATTTTAAAATGAAACAAAGCATGCAAAAGGTTCAAGTTTATTCTAGTTCCATGTGACCAATTTTCTTAATCGGTCCACGTTACTGTGTACTTTTTTTTGTTCTCCACATAAAATTCGAATCTTTCAGGTTCCTTTTTTGGCGTGCTATCATGATGCAGTTAAGTAACAGGAAGTCATGCATGAAAGTCATTAGTCCCAACAAAGATTGTGTTTATTTAGTACTGATACCAAATAACTCACCGTAGTCTCACAAGATCCATCCATTCATTATTTATAGACACAGGCAACAGTCTCTCATCTCTTGTGTATTAGGAATATTTGGACATTCCCATTTTGGTACAACTTCGGCATTAAACCCTACGTGGATTTAATGATTTCAGTGGATTTTCCTTTATTGGTGATATTTTTTGTTTGTCTTGTAATCTTTATATTGTTAATATAGTTTTTAAATTACATTTTAACAACATTCTAACTCTTATATATTTTTTACTTTAAGAATTCTTTAAATATAAATATACATACATAAATTGACTTGAAATTAAGTTAAGAAATTGAGAATTGGGTTGAGAATGACATGTTTATAAAGAAAAGAAGAAAAGGATTTAGGTGTGCAAACATTGAAAATAAATGATTTTCAGTCCCCTCACACATTTACACATGAAGGGATAAAGTCCATCGCATCTGCAAACATTGAGTAAACTTTACAATGACCATGTCTTATGGGAGGAGACTGCAGGGGCTGCACTGTCATTACATTCAGGAATTAACAATGCTGTCTTACATAAGACGGGATTCATAAAAAGCTTACAGGTCAAAAAAAAGATCTTTGGGGAAGACTCACTGTCAGGGTTCAGGTCCAAAGAGACTTTTTCACAGGAGGATCTCATCTCAGGGAAGAGTATGATAAAACAGGTGATAATTGGGGTTGTGTGTGGTGCTGCCGTACTGACCGTAGGCATCCTAATTGGTCACTTTGGTATTGCCAAGAGCGGCACCTCTGCACCATCGTGGCTGAAAGATGTGGCCAAGGATGTGGATGAGAGCCTCATTGAGAAGTTCATGTCGGAGGTGGACAACATTCAGATTCAGGAAAATCTCAGGTCAGTTTCCTTATTTTTTAAACAATGTTATAAAATCTCACCAGCACCTCATTTAAAATCCAAAGAGTATAATTTAATACCATTACCATTCATTCAAGTATTTCAAAGGCTAAATTGCCATTGAAGTTTTATCTTTCATCTTCCTTCACAGGAGCCTGACAAAAGTGCCCCATATGGCTACCACAGCTGGAGATGAGGAGACTGTACAGATAATGCTTAAGAGATGGCAAGACCCTGAAACTGGACTAGACAAGGCCTGGAGAGAGGAGTACTGGGTCTACCTGTCCTTCCCTGACAAAAATAACCCTAATACAGTCACTGTAGGTGAGTGAAATGCTTGTGAAAAGCATGATGACAGAGGGAATGGTTACATTATCTTGGTCAAAGTAAACATTACAGTATAAGAAGGAATGGTTTAGTTAGCTTGTGCGGTATGATTAACTACAGTGAAAGCTGCTCCATCAGCATTCATAGGATTATTCCATGGAAGACAAAATCCTTTAAGTACTTTTACATTGTTACGTTTTGGTTATATTGTGTATTTTTTTTCCATACATACGTATTTTGTCTTTTAAGAAAGTTCCATTCCATACTCAATCCAACATACCAAGAAAACTGGTATTAAGCGAAAACTATCCACTCTCTGTATTTAACACTCTTTCTAACACTGAGAAGCTCTTCAATCTGCAAGCGCCCTGATGTCTCACAAACAGACCTTTCACCATGACTTGTTAATTTCAGTGAGCCCAACCAATACGGTGCTGCACACAATAAGAGAAAAAGAAAAGCCTTACACTCCGGACCAAAGCGATCCTGAGGTGGTTCAGCCGTACGCAGCATACTCCCCTGCAGGACATGTAAAGGTAAAAAGCTACAGCCTTACGCATCAAGCACTAAATTTAACTTATAAATGCAAATCACTCAAAATAAAACTGAAGACACATCAATTATATTACATTTAAAATATCTGCTTTATTCTCATTAACCAAACAGAGTTGGCCAACAGCTTTCATCCTGTTTCTGAAATGGGACAATCTGGCAAAACAGTCCTCAAAGAAACCTCCAGTGTTTTATTGTGTGTTTGTGCACAAACACTGAAATATTCTGTGTCTATGGAACTCCTACACCATTTCTGACCATTAAATTACTGAAAGAATGATAAAATAATAAAATCACATGATAGTCATAATTAGCTTACTTGTTGTAACCTTTGAGGCTGCACGTTGTATGCTTACTGAAATACAGTCAGTATACTTTTAACTGTTGCAGCTACATGACTGAATATTCAAGAAAGATGTTTAAAAACCTCTGCTCTGAACAAGGATTAAGTTGCCGTGCAACAAAAGCTAACAGTGTTGGGTTTAGTTCACATAGAGTGTTTATGTGAAAACCTTAAAAACAAACAGGGAATGAGTATGTGACACAAATATTTCCAGGTGTAAAAGAGATGGGATTTACTTCTGACAAATATTATGGGAAAATTTAACATTGAATGGAAAAATAAATAAATGAATGAATATGCTACAATCACAGATTATTTTAGTGTCACACTTTTCAGTAAATTAGGCAATAGCGCTTGTTTATTGGTGCCATAAACTTCTCAACATCAACTTCAAGGCTAAAATGTCTTTCATAGACTTGCCAAGTACTGATAATTTCACGAGTTATGATGTAGACTGCGTTAGCAAAACGTCAAGAGCCAGTCTGTAAAGATTTGTATCACTGTCAAGCTTTCTCATGGCAGTAAAAAAAATGATACCCTGATTAGGAAAATAGACTGTTCTAGCCCGACTCACTTTATGAATGCAGAACACACAATAATAATAATAAAAAAAAACTTTCCCCAGAGACAATACAAAATACATGCAGGCAAACGAACTCCAACTGAAGGTGGCAGCAAAATGCAAAGCAAAAGTAAAGTCAGGGGAAACTGAAGCAAAGTTAAGATAATAGTAAAACACTTGAATGCCAAGAGCTACATAAAGGTTCAAACAGGGACATACAGTGATTCTGTGAAGTACACAAACTGATTACTAACAACCAGATTGATACCAGATTGATATTGATGATAACAGTGTTCTGGACTATGAGCCAATGAGGGAAAGGCAGAGAATGACTAAGGGGTAAAAAAGACAAAGACAGGAAGCAAACTAGCAAAGATACAAAATGTAAGTGGCAAATAAAAGAGGAGCATTAACAGACCATTACATAAACATTAAATGTTTTAAAATTTGGTTACAGAAAGATTTAAATCACCTTTTCTTCATATCAGTTCACTTTTTTGAGTTTCTGTTGCTCACAGAGCGTTTCTATTTCTCATGGTTTTAGGGGAAATTGGTTTATGCCAATCAGGGGAAGCCAAGTGACTACAGCGAACTGAACAAGACAGTGGACCTCAGAGGAACTATTGCTATCACCAAATATGGTGGCGCAGGAAGATCGGCTAAAGTGAGTTTCAGAATGCATCATTAAATCACAGATTTGTACATTTTAAGCCCAATTTTGTTTGGTTATAAGCAAAAACCATCAACTAAGCAACAGGGTTAATTCTTATTGCCACTAGTTACATGTTAGTTCAAACTCTTACTTTAACAAGTGGCATAATTGTTTTATCTAATCTACATAAACACTATTCTGTAGTCACAAACTTTTATATTAAGATACGCTGACATCACGTGAGCTAAAAAAAAAGAAAGAAGATTACCGCCACACACTTCTAGTAAATTCTAACTTTATTAATATAGCACTTTTGCAGCTCAAATTCCTCTAGAGTGGACAGGTTTGATGACAACTGAAATGTAAATTATAAAAGAATAAAAGTGTAAACCAACAAATTACTGTTTACAAAATGCATTATGTGTCTCATCCAGGCCATCAATGCAGCACCATATGGCGTCGTTGGAGTGCTTGTCTATACAGATCCTTTGGACATGAACGATGGTCTCATGTCAGACGCCAATGAGACGTATCCTCACTCCTGGTACATGCCACCCAGTGGTGTGGAAAGAGGTTCCTACAACATTGACTTTGGAGACTTGCTGACACCTCACTTGGCTGCCAAAGGTTAACCATTGCACTTCTCCACACGCCAAAAAGATACACGCTATATAGCTTCAAACACATACACTATGGAAATTTAAATCATGTTTAATTCCTTTTTTATTATTTCAATTCTTAAATGTAATCATTTATTTTACAGAGGAAACATACAGAATCAATGCCACAGACATTACAGGCATTCCTCCTATTCCAACTCAACCAATCGGATTTGAGGACGCCTATCGATTGATCTGGTTTGTGACAAGATAGATCTGCATGTGTAACTGATACAGCCTAACAAAGGTGATGATTACTTTAATAATATATTTTTTCCATTGGTCATTTCAGTGAGTTGGGAGGAGAACCAGCTCCAGATGCATGGCAAGGAGGATTCAACTGTACCTACAATTTTGGTGGTCCAGGGTTCAAACCTACATCCAGTTTCACCAACAGGTAACCAACAGTATAAGTAAAAAGTTTTAAAAAGTAAAAAACCTTACAGACCTTTTCAACTTAACTATTTTTGAATAATTCAATTAGATAATTTAGAATCAGTGTAGTAAACATTTAATTCGCCAGCCAACTTGATCATTTTTATTCACTATACAATTTCATGTCAGATGATTTACACTTGAATAACCAATTCCATTTATACAAATACATGTTTTTGGAGCAGCAGTTAAAGCCTCTTTGTCCCCTTTTCTGTGTTGCCTTTCATGTCAGTGATGTAAAACTGGACATCTACAACTATGAAGAGGTGAAACCCTCCTCTAATGTAATGGGTTTTATCAGAGGAAGTGTGGAGCCAGGTGAGACCAAGGTTGGATCGGCAATTTAAGATCAGCTGTTTTGATGTTGTGATTATTTTGTGTAAGTGCTGTGTTTATATCCACAGACAGGTATGTGATATACGGCAACCACAGGGACAGTTGGGTTCATGGTGCGATAGATCCAAGCAGCGGCACATCAGTCATGCTGGAAATTACCAGGGTGCTGGGCAAGATGGTCAAACAGGGTGAGGAGGAGCTGGAATGAATGACTGTTTGTATAGAGTTCTCGATAAAGGCTGACCTCTGTGGCTCTCTATTGTAGGCACCTGGAGGCCTCGCAGGTCCATTATTTTTGGAAGCTGGGGAGCTGAGGAGTTTGGCCTTATTGGGTCTGCAGAATACACAGAGGTGATTTGCAATTTATCCACAAGACTACCCACAACTCCAAGCAATGTGTAAAATGGCCATCTGTGTTAAAGATATAAAGATATAAAGTGCACATTCTTCTACACTTGACCTCGTTCTTGTTTCTGCTCCAGCAATACTTTGCAGCACTCAGTGAACGAAGTGTTGCTTACATAAACGTGGACATTGCAGTATTTGGTAAGAAGCTCCACACTGCACCTGTACATCAGAAGTAAATTTAAATGTATTCCAATCAGCCAGTACGACACAAACAGCTAACAGGAAAAAAAAATGCTCCTGGAGTTTCTTAAGAAATGTTAAAAATATAAATCTAAATCTGATTCTTTTGCACATAGTCTGCATGAAATGAAACGCTGTGTTAACACACCTAAGATGAATTTATAGGTTTAATAGTGATGCTCTTGCAAAACAATTGTTGTCTTGCATTATTCAGCTAATGCTACTCTCGGAGCTTCAGGCATGCCATCAATGCAGAATGTCATCTTTAAAGCTTCAAAACAGGTGAGCCCTTTGACTAACTACTATCTAGACAAAACCAAGACTTTTACTGCTCAGAAGTGTGGTTTTTAGCTAATCTGGATCAATTAAGAATCAATGAGCTTATGTGATAGTGAGGCGCCAATACCGTTATTCACAAGAATCGTTACAGTTTCCTCATTTTGGTTAGATTTTAGTGAAACTTGAACCCAATAAGCATCTGATAGGTCTTCGTACTTGTAGGTATTGGTCCTATTTACAGGCACTTATCCATGTTTACAAAAATCTCTACCCGTCCTAGACTATTCTAGAGTATCTTTCCGACTTTACATTGCAATAGTCTGTCAATCAAGATGGATTAGTTATCATATGAATTACTGACCTTTGTTTTCTAGGTTAAAGCACCTGGCCACGAAAAATCTGTGTATGACAACTGGTTACAGTACACAAACAAAACCAGCCCCACCCATGGATTAATTCCCAGGTAATAAACTGCAGCCATATCTTGTTAATCTTGCATTGAATCTTGGAAGAACAGTTGTCTAGGATTCTATTCAAAATCACTTTTCTCTATTTGAAAGTTTAAAAAAAAACAACAACAACTAGATATTATATTGACATCATAGATTTTATTCCGCATGTTTCAGGTATAAACATATTAGTTTTTTAAATTACCAGTGGCCACAGTAGTGTTAGCTGGTTCATTGTTAGAATGTAAAAGACTTGTAAAACACAATCTGAGCTTAAAACCTAATCAGAAGCAATTAAGATATGCAATTTGCATATTTTGTGTATTTACAATAATGTATGAGATACAGAATTTGATTTTTTGTTTAGTTTTATTGGTTCTATGTCATCATAATCATTTAAATGATCTAACAGACAGTTGGTTTGGTTGGCCAAGTCCTACTTTCTTTGTGATATGTATTTTAACAGAATTTTGCAGTGTTTTCATTATATATATTCATATTTAATTCTATCCCATGTCTCTCTGCTGAAATATCTCAGAATGTGCTCCCAATGTGATGTTTTCTATCTTCTTTCAACAGGATGGGATATCTGACAGGAGCAGGGAGTGATTATGCTCCCTTCAGCCATTATCTAGGAATCACCTCCATGGACATGTCATACACATATGACAAGGTACTAAAGATGTACGATTGCACGATTTGACACATAGACAGAATAATACTGCACAGTTTTGCTTTTAGAGCCTTTTTGTGCAGTCGCAGTAAATGTGCTTTAACTAGCGTGTACTGATTGTGTATTAAAAATAAGAATGATAGATACAGTTAAATGCTCTGGTCATTGAAGCCAGTTGTTCATTGTACATTTTAAACCAAAATAAGCTGCAAAAAGTGTTTTATTTTGGCATTCACATATATTAGGAGAAGGCAGGTGTTAACTGAGCTCATTAAGATAATATTGTAACTATTATTGTATATATATTTGTCTTCACACAGACTAAAACAAATGCTCGGATTTATCCTGCATATCACACAGCATATGACACTTTTGACTATGCTTCAAAGTACATTGATCCTGGTGAGAATTTTTTTTTCCCCCTAGTAGTCTACTTCTTGCACAGTAAGTAGAATAAATGAATCCTTGTCTAACCCCTTTCCTGTCATAGTGCTATGACAGGAAAATATTTTGCCAGCAATGGAAGAAAAAGAAAAAGCGTTGCATTTCTCAAGAAAATATTTTCTGAGTTGTGGTTTTTCTGTTTTCAGATTTGATCACTGAAAATAAATAATTAGCTGAAAAGAATCAAATTATTCCTTTATAACATTAGCTCATACCTTCTCTTGTAGGCTTTGTCGGTCATCAAGCTGTAGCCAGGACTGCAGGAAATGTCCTGATCCGACTGGCTGATAGCTTGATCCTGCCATTAAACTGCGCTGACTATGCTGAAAGTCTGGAGGAATACCTCAGCACTGCTTTGAACCTATATGAGCAGAAACTTAAAACTATGAACATTTCAATGGGTAAGTACAGGAGATCTTTTGAGAGATGTGGGGGGAGGGGATCTTTTTGGAGCTAGGTAACACATCTTATACTTTAATGATACCCTCTGAAAGTGTCTTGTGCATCTATGTTTTGTCTTGTATATCTATGTTCTACCCCAATAATCAAGTGTAATTAGAGAGAATAAAAGAATACAATCATCACTGGGTGACAGCAATCATCTGTATCTCGTTTCAGAACCCCTTAAACATGCAGTGACCAGCTTTCGTGCTGCAGTTTCTAATTTGGAGAAGGTGATTCAAAGTCCAGACCTGGCAAATGAAACGTAGGTGCACACATTACATACAGTATGTGCACAGTCATATCCACATCCATTCAAACAGAAATGAATACCAGCCCCCTTTGCTTTACCATGTCTTTTTCCTCAGGCCGCTTAAGGTTAGATGGATCAATGACCAACTCATGCTTCTGGATCGAGCTTTCTTGGACCCTCTGGCTTTCCCAGATAAATATGGATTTAGGTAAGAATGTGGCCCAGTGGATTGCGCAGAGATTTCTGTGGCTTTGGAAAATAATAAAATTATAGTGCCTAGTGGAGTCTTCTGTGTCATGCAGGACACAGTACACAATGAGAGAAGAAGGATTGTGGGGGTTAGTGAAGTCCCACTGTTAATAAAACATGTTAATCAAGACATGATTACAATGGTTATGCCTACTATCTTAAATAGGACCAGGATAAGGCCTCAGGCCTTAAGTAACTTTTTAACCCCCACAAACAGCAAAAGTCTATGGAGCCACTGGAGCTGGCATAGTTGTTAATACCTATAGTGAAAGAAGTAACAGTGATACACAAACATGGAATGCAGTAGTACGGCATTTCTGGGGCAAGGAGCCATTGGGAGAAGCTAGTGAACAATATGCAGAAGGTAAACACATGGAATTAAGACAATGTGTTTTAACAGTACTAGTGATTTGAATATGGCAGTGCCAGTAGGTTAAATCTTGGCCGGCTGCTGTTACGCTCTGTTGATTGTTACATTTAGTAGTCTTTTGACAAGAGATACCAAGTGTAGTGAATTGTTTGTTTCATTGTAACTCAGAAACACATTTGATAACACTGTTGAGCTAATCTTTATTTTGTTGTGTGTTACACAGGCATGTTATCTGGGCCTCAAGCAGTGCTGGCAAACAAACCTTCCCAGGTCTAGCTGATGCCTATGCTAATGCTGAGTCATCAGGGCAGGCCAGCGACTGGGACAAAGTTCACTACCACCTGTCAGTATTAAGCCAAGCCATACTGGGTGCCGCCAGCACACTGACTGATGACATGCAGACTCAAACTTGGAGGAAGTAACTGCACTAACTCAGGAATTTAATCAAAATGCCAATGGCTTTAAGCAAGATTAAGTATACCAGCTGTTGTTAATAGAGGTTGGTTTTGTTTTTGATTACTTTATGCAGTCTTTCAGAAATGAATGAATAAAAATGGAGGAAAGAAAACTTGAAAGGCAAATGTGTTTGGGGCACTAGTCACCATGAGGCAGGAACATCTTATCAAAGGAGATTAGACCACAGTTTTAATTTTTCTCTTTTGGTTACAAATGCAAAGATGGTTTTGGTTTCTTTGGTAGAAAACTAGGTTTTGTATCCTATAAATGTATGATATAAATATTGTCTTTATTTTTCAAAAGAAAGCTTTGAGTCTTGAGCATATGGTGCCACTTTCCTCCCACACATTTGTCAGTAATATTTTCACAACAGTAACAGCTGAACATATGTAATGAGAATGTGCCAAGACTTTATTATTTGTTAAGCGCCCCACAAAGTTGTACCCCTGAACTTCTCAACTGTCTCATAATTAGGAAAAACAAACATACAGAATGCTGTATTGTAAACTGGATTTAAGGCCCATAAAGGAATGGTTAAAAAACTTCCATTGATGCTATTGGATGGTGTAATGGCACATGGAGCAATAAAATTTTACTCGGAAATACTGGTGCAAAGGTTTGTGTGATGAGTCCCTATCCCACGTGTGGGACTAATAAAGGTTATCTTATCTTATCTTATCAGCAACATAAGAATTATAAAGGATTTTATGGCAATCGGCATAAAATAAAAGATGATGATCTGAGTTTTAAAGAGGTTACATCATTTGTATGCAAGGTACAGCTGGAAAAGAAATTCTGAAGTTATCTATACGTGGTTTAGTTTGAATCGTACTGACAAGCTACAAGTCAATGAAAACCTGAGCACTTCATAGGCCTCCTGCCAGTGCCTATGGTGGAGCTGCAGTACTGACCCCTACCAGCAGGGGTCAAAAATACTTTGACACAAGTGTTGCAAACCCAGTGAAACAGGCTGAAGAGGTACTTTCACACGTTCTCCTTCAGGGATTCTTCCAGGAATTCATTCACAATGCAAAACTGAAACTGCAAATGTATTAAACAAGAAAGAAAATCAAAAAGAGTTTAGCCAAATTATAAAATCTGGTTAAAATTTAAACAGTGTTATTCACCCTCATTTAATCCATCCAATATGCTTTGTTGTAAGTTACACAGAGGTAAATCTAATTTGTCTGCTTTGTGATGTTTAAAGATGCATTCAAACCGATGTGGAAAAGAGGCAAGCTGCCTTTGAATGCCCCACATTAATTTTAATGTATTTATTGACACCGTAAGGAAGGATTAAAATCTCTGGAGATCTACCTTTGGCAGCCCATACCTTGGGAGAGGTAATAGGCAGTAGCAGTAGCACAAATAAACTCTTTAGGTGCAGACACTCAGTGTTTTCCTGAATAAGGTGTAGGATCACTGCATACTTTTTTCTCCTCTCCAAAATCTTCCCACACTATAACCAGTGTATTTCAGGAATGATTGCTTGTATTGTTGGTGTGATATATATAGAGGTTCTTCAGTATTTTTACCAGGGGAATACTTACAAGCCATGGATTTTTTTTTTCCTTCAGTAGTGCTGTGTGAATAGCATTCACAGAGTTTGACATTCATATTTGCAGAGTTGCCCAGAACAGCAAAGGCAGTCTGTTTTTAGCCACTCAGCACATTACAGCTTGAAGAATTCTCTCATGCAGGATAGTAAACACTTTGCAAGCGTTGGATTCAGATGGATGAAATAACTATGCTCAGGCTTTGTTTTGCAACCTCTACTCAGCTGTTTCCCCGTATACTATATAGTATACGGGCATTCCCGGACATTTTTTTTGCTCAGAGAAATGCTCTTTTTCAGACCGCTCTTCATAAACCCTAGAGAGGGATCTGCCGGAAAGTTGAATACTTTCTGCAATGCCAGTTGAGAGTAAATATTGAACACCTGACATGCAGTGATAAATCCGACAGTATTATCGATGAGTGCAACCCCTTATTTAAACATCCCATTTGCATTGTGACTGATGAGGAAAACTACTTTTGATATAGTCTAAGGAGCTTGGAAAGAAAAGCGTCTGGACTTATTTAGTCCCTTTGAACCCTAGAACTGAAGAAGCTTCTCGGATGAGAGGTGAAACGTCTTCAAGCAACCTAAAGAAGTCCAGACGCTTTTCTTTCCAAGCTCAGACTACGATGACCTGGATGACTGAGAACCTTCACAGATACTTTTGATATAGACTATAGTTACATCCCGACCTTTAACCATTTCACATGGCAAAGTCAGTATGAGTGTGAACATCAGCCATAATGTTATAAAAACGAAGTGTCTTCGCAATGCCATTCAAACAAGGAGACGACGCTGGGGCTTTACTTGCCAGTCGCAGAGTTTATTATTTTAAATATACATAGACTATCCCGTTCTCATATTAAATACCCCACAACCCGTCCTCCCTCATTATTCCTCCCCTCCCTCACCCTCATTTCTCTGCTTTCTTTGTTCTGCCTCCAGAGAGAAAGCTTGTCTGGCTGAAAAACACACTCTACTTTGTGCAGCATATTGCTTATTAAGACATTTGCGAAAACATAAATTAAAAAATAAAGAAAAACAAAACTACAGCTTGTCTTCCCCCCCCAATTTCTGCTCCAACATCTGACTGCAGAGAACAGTATCTAAACAGGAGGAAATAAAAAAAAGAAAAAAAGAAAACAGCACAGTGTCCCTCAGTCTGGCTACATACAATGAAGTGGATTCCCAAGTTTTAGTTTTTTCATTGGTTTTTTTTGTTTGTTTTTTTTAAACTCGCATGTATACACAGTGGTCTGTACCGTGACAGATAGACAAAAACAAAACAAAAAAAAGAGAATTCCTTTCTTCAACAAATGTCCTGAGTTTGGTCAGATCATGTCGCCGTGTTGTTGTCATGTCGTGTTGTACATGAGACATCCAATCAAAGTGGCCGATTCAATTTCAGCCCTTGCTTTCACTAGTGTTTGTGTCTCTGTTCATCTCCTCTCTGCTCCTCAGAAGGTAAATAACCCTCACGATCAGGGGATGGGACTGTTGTTTACGGCTTTTTTTTTCTTCCTTTTTTTAAATTGCTGTTACAATTATTGGTCCAATGAGGCAGTTGGAGCTGCAGGCAGAGTGAAGGACAGTGTGATACGGCACTAGAGGAAAATTCAGGTGTTTAAGTCACAAGGCATGCATGTTAACACTGAACTCAGAGTCACCACCAGAAGTGTTTCTGCTGTTATGCTTGTATCATGTCCCGGGCATGAGTCTTGTCAGTCTGTTTTGGTGTGTGTTTGTGTGTCTGCGTCAGTGTTTGTGCATTTTTTTTTTACTTTTTTCTTTTAAACAGATTAAGGTCCTGGAAAAGTCCTGCTTTTAATACCATCCATGCTAGACTACCCTGACACCAAGATTTCATCTTTTCAGCAACTGAAGGTGCAAAGAAACCCATGCTTGTTCCTGTGACATTTTCGATCTGCATGTGGGCTCTCAGTGGAGAATAAATGCATAAAAAGCAGGTCTTTTCCAAATACCAACACTGTGACATATGTGCACATGTGTCTTCTGTGCTTCTGGTATTTCTCATGAGTCTTTTCAAAATTTTATATCCAATATTCTAGAAGTCACTTTCCCCTCTCCTCTTTAGGAAGCACACGAGAGACTGCGTTGGCATTACGGAACGTCAAAAGGTCAAGGTGGGATCACACACGGGGGGAGTATTTGGGGTTTCTTGGCACCTCGGTGAAAGATTTCAGCTCATATGGGATCCCCGTGTCCACTTCGATGGATTTGCGGGAGAATAGCAGCCGGATATCGTTGTGCAAGTATATCTTTCCAGATTTGGAGCTCTGGAATCTAAGAAAAATCAGACCAAAAACAGAGGTTGGCAAAACAAATACATTCCACTTGAGCCAAGAATATGACTAAAAGCACAAAAAAGGTTGCAAAACTTTTAAATATTCAATCAAAAATTTATATAACACAAAGTTTTATTAATGTTTTAGTATATAGACGTTTCAACTAAGCTTTTAAAGTCACGTGATAATGGAGCATTTTAGCCTTTTCTGGCATAAAAAGTAAAAAAAACAAAGCAAAACACATAAAACCTTAGTTGTACCTGAGATGTATAAGGTAGCAGAGAATCTTCTTCCTATCTAGCATTCCACTTCCTGGAGACGCCTCGCCTTTTCCCTCAGCTCCCTCCTCTACTGGCACCAAGAAGATGCGGTGTCGCAGGAACGTCATATGATTAACAGGCATGTCATTAAAGTTGTAGGTCACCAGGAACATCTTCACCACAGTTTTGTTGGGATTAAATAAGGTCTGAGGACACAACAGGAATAGATGAGATAGCTCAGCATGATTTAAATTCAATGGCTTAGCTATAATAATTACAGATATGTGACCCTTAAAAGTATAAACATGACCAAAATGTCTCTCATATATATATATATATATATATATATATATATATATATATATATATATATATATATATATATATATATATATATAATATATATATATATATATATATATATATATATATATATATATATATATTTACACACACACACATACATACACACATACATATATATTTTTTTTTTTAAATTAAGAATGACATAAAATTACCACTTGGATGGTCCCTGCTTTGGGTATGCTGTATCCTTTCTTTCCAAGGGGTTCGAGGGATATTACCCCCTGTGAGAAAAAAAGAGACACAGAATACATATCCTCAGTCACTGCAATGATGAAATAATCTGTAACATTTTAATACTTAAAACCTACACGAAGACTATGCGCCATGAAATAAAATGTAGGTGGCAGCGCAGCAGTATGACAGCAGTAGTTTTCCATTTCTGTTCCAAAACACAGATGAAATCTGCATATCTGTATTGATAACACATGTAAAACCAAAAAAAAAGGAAATTCAGAAATGAAGTTGATGAACTCTAAAACTACTGCAGCAGAGTGCAGTTGTAAAGGCAGCTGCATGGAAAGTCAAATTAAGAGTTCAAAGAAGTGAATCAAAGGAGGCCTGACCTTCACTATACACCGCAGATCAAAGTAGAAATGAGGAATTAATCTAAAAGTGAAACAGCTGCTTTTCCATTTTTCCAGCAGGATTAAAGCACATCAGGGCTTCCTCATAACACTGCTAAAATGCTTTCTTGGCATATGCAATAAATGTACATTATTTCCCGATGAACTGAAGAACAGCATCGTAGCATATGCACAGAAAGACATTTTCCACATCTGCTTGTGAAGAGGCAAATCAACATCAATCAGACACGTGCATTGTTTTGGTAGTTCTGATCTCTAAATTGGGTTTATTTTTTTCCCCAACCAACAAACCACAGCAAACATTTCGTTTATCTTTTTTTCTTTCCTGACTAAGGATATACACAACAACATAAAAACATAGCACAACACACACACAAACACACTGACCAGGAAGGGTGAGGGTGCGCTGTGCTCCGAGATGTCATAGTATGTAACCTGCACAGGCAGGGTGACGTGCTGTGGGCAGTAGGAGCCGCTGGCACCGATCTCTGCTGTGAAGCCTTCAATTCGGCCTGAGGGGGAG